ATACGCTCCAAACGGATAAACACACAGCAAGATATGAGTGTCACAAATACTTAGCCTTATCTCTATGATTTAGCGTTTTCAGCGAAAATAGAGCACTTTTAGCGTAAATACAGTGTATGTTAGTAATTAGGCAATCATCCCTTCATATTTTCAAACCAGCGCCTGAAGAAAAGTTTTAGAACTCGGTAAGATCTTTCCAACGAGATATTAAACGCTTTCAACGGCACAAAATAGAGCAAAATATGATCACATCAAATTCTACACGAGTTCGAAGTGAAATCAGAAACATTTGTGAATATATGGTTAATCTGTAACTTTTAATTAATGCATTGTAAATGAAGTTGGAACAATAGCTTTAGAGCTCCGATCTATCTTTCCAACGATATATAATACGCTCAGAACTGATAAACACACAGCAAGATATGAGTGTCACAAATACTTAGCCTTATCTCTACGATTTAGCGTTTTCAGCGAAAATAGAGCACTTTTAACGTAAATGTAGTGTATTTTATTATTAGGCAATCATCCCTTGATATTTTGAAACCAGAGCCTGAAGACATATTTTAGAACTCGGTAAGATCTTTCCAACGAGATATTAAACGCTTTCAACGACACAAAATACAGCAAGATAAGATCGCATCAAATTCTACACGAGTTAGGAGTGAAATCAGAAACATTTGTGAATATATGGTTAATCTGTAACTTTTAATTAATGCATTGTAAATGAAGTTGGAACAATAGCTTTAGAGCGCCGATCTTAATTTCCAACGAGATATAATACGCTCCAAACGGATAAACACACAGCATGATATGAGTGTCACAAATACTTAGCCTTATCTTTATGATTTAGCGTTTTCAGGGAAAATAGAACACTTTTAGCGTAAATACAGTGTATTTTGGTAATTAGGCAATCATCCCTTGATATTTTCATACCAGCGCTTGAAGACAAGTTTTAGAACTCGGTAAGATCTATCCAACGAGATATTAAACGCTTTCAACGGCACAAAATAGAGCAAGATATGATCGCATCAAATTCTACACGAGTTCGGAGTGAAATCAGAAGCATTTGTGAATATATGGTTAATCTGTAACTTTTAATTAATGCATTGTAAATTAAGTTGAAATAATAGCTTTAGAGCTCCGATCTATATTTCCAACGAGATATAATACGCCCCAAACGGATAAACACACAGCAAGATATGAATGTCACAAATACTTAGCCTTATCTATATGATTTAGCGTTTTCAGCGAAAATAGAGAACTTTTAGCTTAAATACAGTGTATTTTATTATTAGGCAATCATGCCTTGATATTTATAAACCAGCGACTGAAGACAAGTTTTAGAAGTTGGTAAGATCTTTCCAACGAGATATTAAACGCTTTCAACCCCACAAAATAGAGCAAGATATAATCGCATCAAATTCTACATGAGTTCGGCTTGAAATCTGAAACATTTGTGAATATATGGTTAATCTGTAACTTTTAATTATTGCATTGTAAATTAAGTTGGAACAATAGCTTTAGATCTCCGATCTATCTTTCCAACGAGATATAATACGCTCGAAACGAATACACACACAACAAGATATGAGTGCTTAGCCTTATCTCTATCATTTAGCGTTTTCAGCGAAAACAGAGCACTTTTATCGTATATACAGTGTATTTTAGTAATTAGGCAATCATCCCTTGATATTTTAAAACCAGCTCCTGAAGACAAATTTTAGAACTCAGTAAGATCTTTCCAACGAGATATTAAACGCTTTCAACTGCACAAAATAGAGCAAGATATGATCGCATCAAATTCTACACGAGTTCGGAGTGAAATCAGAAACATTTGTGAATATATGATTAAGCTGTAACTTTTAATTAATGCATTGTAAATGAAGTTGGAACAATAGCTTTAGAGCTCCGATCTATCTTTCCAACGAGATATAATACGCCCCAAACGGATAAACACACAGCAGGATATGAGTGTCACAAATACTTAGCCTTATCTCTATGATTTAGCGTTTTCAGCTAAAATAGAGAACTTTTAGCGTAAATACAGTGTATTTTAATAATTAGGAAATAATCCCTTGAAATTTTGAAACCAGCGCCTGAAGACAAGTTTTAGAAATCGGTAAGATCTTTCAAACGATATATTAAACGCTTTCAACGGGACAAAATAGAGCACTTTTAGCGTAAATACAGTGTATTTTAGTAATTAGGCAATCATCCCTTGCTATTTTGAAACCAGCGCCTGAAGACAAGTTTTAGAAATCGGTAAGATCTTTCCAAAGAGATATTAAACGCTTACAACGGCACAAAATAGAGCAAGATATGATCGCATCAAATTCTACACGAGTTCAGAGTGAAATCAGAAACATTTGTGAATATATAGTTAATCTGTAACTTTTAATTAATGCTTTGTGAATAAACTTGGAACAATATCTTTAGATCTCCGATCTATCTTTCCAACGAGATATAATACGCTCCAAACGGATAAACACACAGCAAGATATGAGTGTCACAAATACTTAGCCTTATCTCTATGATTTAGCGTTTTCAGCGAAAATAGAGCACTTTAAGCGTAGATACATTGTATTTTAGTAATTAGGAAATCATCCCTTCATATTTTCAAACCAGAGCCTGAAGACAAGTTTTAGAACTCGGTAAGATCTTTCCAACGAGATATTAAACGGTTTTAAAGGCAAACAATAGAGCAAGATATGATCGCATCAAATTATACACGAGTTCGGAGTGAAATCAGAAACTTTTGTGAATATATGGTTAATCTGTAACTTTTAAATAATGCATTGTAAATTAAATTGGAACAATAGCTTTAGATCTCCGATCTATCTTTCCAATGAGATATAATACGCCCAAACGGATAAACACACAGCAAGATATGAGTGTCCCAAATACTTAGCCTTATATCTATTATTTAGCGTTTTCAGCGAAAATAGAGCACTTTTAGCGTAAATACAGTGTATTTTAGTAATTAGGCAATAATCCCTTGATATTTTGAAACCAGCGCCTAAAGACAAGTTTTAGAACTCGTTATGATCTTTCCAACGAGATATTAAACGTTTTCAACGGCACAAAATAGAGAAAGATATGATCGCATCAAATTTTACACGAGTTCGGAGTGAAATCAGAAACATTTGTGAATATATGGTTAATCTGTAACTTATAACTAATGCATTGTAAATGAAGTTGGAACAATAGCTTCAGAGCCCCGATCTATCTTTCCAACAACATATAATACGCTCCAAATGGATAAACACACAGCAAGATATGAGTGTCACAAATACTTAGCCTTATCTCTATGATTTAACGTTTTCAGCGAAAATAGAGCACTTTTAGCATAAATACAGTGTATTTCAGTAATTAGTCAATCATCCCTTGATATTTTGAAACCAGCGCCTGAAGACAAGTTTTAGAACTCGGTATGACATTTCCATCGAGATATTAAACGCTTTCAACGGCACAAAATAGAGCAAGATATGATCACATCAAATTCTACACGAGTTCGGACTGAAATCAGAAACATTTGTGAATATATCGTTAATCTGTTACTTTTAATTAATGCATTGTAAATGAAGTTGGAACAATCGCTTTAGAGCTCCGATCTATCTTTCCAACGAGATATAATACGCTCCAAACGGATAAACACACACCAAGATATGAGTGTCACAAATACTTAGCCTTATCTCTATGATTTAGCGTTTTCAGCGAAAATAGAGCACTTTTAGCGTAAATACAGTGTATTTTAGTAATTAGGCAATCATCCTTGATATTTTGAAACCCGCGCCTGAAAACAAGTTTTAGAACTCGGTAAAATCAGAAACATTTGTAATACTAATAATAATAATAATAATAATAATAATAATAATAATAATAATAATAATAATAATAATAATAATAATAATATGAAATAAGAATAATAATAATAATAAAAATAATAATATTAATAATAATAATAATAATCATAATAATAATAGTAATGATGATGATAATAATAATAATAATAATAATAATAGTAATAATAATAATAGTAATAATAATAATAGTAATAATAATAATAATAGTAATAATAATAGTAATAATAATAGTAATAATAATAATAGTAATAATAATAATAATAGTAGTAATAATAATAATAATAATAATAATAATAATAACAGTAATAATAATAACAATAATAATATTAATAATAAAAATAATAATAATAATCATCATAATAATAATAACAATAATAATAATAATAATGCGAATAATAATAATAACAATAATAATAATAATAATAATAATAATAATAATAATAATAATAACAATAATAATAATAATAATAATAATAATAATAATAATAATACAATTAATAATAATAATAATAATATCAACGATAATAATAATTATGATAATAATAATGATAATAATAATAATGATAATAATAATAATGATAATAATAGTATTGATAATAATAGTAATGATAATAATAGTTATGATAATGATAATAATAATAATGATAATAATAATGATAATAATAATGATAATAATAATGATGATGATAATAATAACAACGATAATAATAACAATGATAAGAATAACAATGATAATAATGACAATGATAATAATAATGATAAGTCTGGTTTGTTCATATATTTTCACTCACTTTTTATAGCGTTTCTTGTCAAACTCGGGGCAAATTGACACATTTTTCTGTAGTTTTGTTGCATTTTTGTTAATGTTTGAAATTAGTGTTGAAATTTCCATTTTTGAGTGATTTGTGTTTATTTTAAGTGTTTGAATTGATTTTATGTTTTTTTTTCTATTTGAGTTATTTATATTTTGTAATTGGTCAAATTTCAATATCATATTATATTTAAATGTTTGATTTTTACAATAAACATATGAAGTTAAGAAAACAAAAACAAAAAAAAAGAATGAGAAAACAAAAAAAAATGCAGCAAGGCTGCGTGATAAAAAAAAGAGCAAACAAAAGAAGAATAAGTGGAGTGCAAGGAGCCAACAAATCAAATGAGATGGGATCTCCTAACTTGTGATCAGCCGCAAGAAAAGAAGGCAAGTCGGCAGCCAAAAAAAAAGCAGCACATGACTACGGCCAATTCAAAACAAAACAACAAAAATAGGAAGCTACAATCAACCAGTTGCAAGGAGATGGGATGGGGAGCAAAATCATTTGCTGGGAAGAGCAATAAAAGGTCGGCAGTAGGAGAGAAAAAAATTGACACCCGCAGCTCTTGGCAACAGGGTAAGGGCAGTTCTTTGCAGAGAGAAGATATAGCAGCTGGCCGGAAGGGAAGAAACGCAGGACGAAAACCGCAGCCAGCTACTCCATGTTCATTCATCTTTCAATCTTAGTTGTTAAGGTTTTGTGTTAAATTTCTTCTTTAATTTCATGTTTGAGTAAGCTTTAAATTTCACTCTTGGATTATTTATCAATTGGAACTACTCTTAAGTTTGATTTTGAACTATTATTATGTTGAATGAATTTGTATTTGAATTATATGTTTCCTTGTATTACTTTAGCTCCTCCATTAATTGTA